TTATAACCCTATCGTTTGAGCGGGTACAATACAGTTGATTTCTATCAAACAAACGTGTGTGCAGTTTCTGTATTACTTTGTTTATTCATTTACAATAATCCCTTCAATTATTATGTAATGACTTCTATTATAATTATAATCACAATCAATGCTTTGTTTATTATTTTAGTAATTAAAAGAGTTATTATAGGACTTTTAATATAATTTAAGAATGTTATCATTTCATTTTTTTTAAAATTTTCTTATACAAAGTTGCTTGTTCAAAAGTATCAAAAATAAAAATAAAATCCATAATTGAAAGCTAAAATAAAAAGAATTTTTTAAGAATTTTTAAATCTCAGTGAAGAGCAAAAGTATGATCTCTTATTATCTGGTCTTAAGATATAAATAGGTATTAAAACTCTTGTTATTTGTTATATTTAATATATTTAATTTATAGGTAAAAATCATAAAAGACTATTTAAAGATTAGTAGATTAATTATACTATTAAATAAAATAAACTAAATGACTTAGCTACTAAAAATTAATAAAAATTAAACTCTGAAAGCGATTACTTTGATAAAGATAATGAAAATAGCCCAAATACTGTATATACCAACAAGATAAACTAATCTCCTATTTTTTTATGTAATATTTTTGATTGTTTTTTTTTATCATTAAATTTTTTAATTAAATATTAGAATTCGAAGAATTAAATTTAGTAAGCAATTAAAAAGATAAAGAGGATAACTCTAATAAATTAATAAAATTAAAACAAAAATACTTAGCTCCTGTAAATTAACAAAACTTAAACACTGAATGCGATTACTTTGATAAAGATAATGAAAATAGCCCAAATAATGTATATAGCAGCTAGATAAACTAATCTCCGTCTTTTTTATGTAATATAAAAAATAGTTTTTTTTTAATCATTAAATTTTTTCATTAAATATTAGGATTTAAAAAATTAAATATAACGATTGATTAGAAAGAGAGTTAAAAAGATAAAGAGGATAACTCTAATGAATTAATAAAATGAAATTCTATTAACCAGGTGGATAAAAATAATAATTTAATTTATTTTACTGAATATGAAATAGATAATATGTTAAATATCTGAAAATTATTATTAAATGTTAAATAATATATATTATTTTTTTGTTTTTAACTAATAAGATTTATCAATTTTAAAGTTCATTTTTCCCTATTAATAATATATTTATATTAAATATTAAGCTTTATTTGTTTTGTAAGTAAAATAAAAAACTAATTATTTTTATTTAAGAATATTATTTATAGAATTTAAAATAAATATACTTCAAAGACAAAAAAATTTAAATGTTATTATTATATTATTTTTTTCTAAAAATAAACTGATATTTAATATTATTTTGGGTTTAGTTTTTTTTTAACTAATTTAATATATAAATAATTAACATAATAGAAACATAACAAATATATCTTAAATCAACCACTATTTTGAATTAAAACTTTAATTTTCTAAATAGTTTTATAAATAATTCATTTTAAATTAAATTAAATTTGAACGATATAAACTTAAATA